ATGCATGCTGGTAGGCTGTTTGTGAGCGGCCCAGGTTGGAAGTTGCAATAGCAAAGCAATGTGAGGTGGTGGGGCAGGTGATGACACAGTTCCTCACTGGTCTGGATTGCACCCCAGAATGTGATAGTGGCATAGTCAAAGAAGGATTTATACACATTTTGGTATTTTAACTGATATTTACATGTTCAGACTCACTTAAAACTGTTTTACCAGTGCTTAAGTGTGGTGGCTGGGTACAGTCACAAGAAAGGCTACAGCTTTATTATTTTCTGTCTGTTTATTTCAAGAAATGGAAATAAAACCACAGTAAAACATTAATATGGGTGCCAGCGAAACAACTATAAAACTAGAGCTCGACAGGTTGAGAGCAAAGCATCGTGAGGTACCCAAGGTTGCGAGGTAGGCAGTGACACAACTCCTCACTGGTCTGTATTGTACCCCGGAATGTGACAAACTCTCAAGATACCCTCAAGCTGTGCATCTTCCTGTCTGTCAGAAAGCACTGAAAAAACAGAGGAGATCTGCCTCCGTTTCCACTTCTACAAACAAAATGATGGCTGAACCTGATGGAACGCAACTGATGGCTGTGGTACAACAGGTGGCTGCAGATACTGTTAAAATTAAATCTACAGTTTCCACCCTACAGACCGCCATGACTGAGATTCAGAGTGCACCACAAACTCGATCCAGACGGGATCGGTGAAGCAGAACACAGAATTTCTGAAATGGAAAATTATTTCAAAGAGAACAAATTACAGGTTATGAAGAACTGTAATGATATCAAGACTACTAAGACCAAGCTTATTGATCTAGAAAGCCACACATGATGATGTAACATCAAGATTGTGGGTGTCCCTGAGGGAATAGAGAAAGGTGAACCCTCCAAATTTGTCCCTAAACTGCTATCTAAGTTGTAGCGGTAGATTTTTTTTTTTTGTTTTGTGTTGTGTTTTGATATAGAGTGAAAGTACCAGGCCCTTGCCCCCAAGCCAGCTCCAGGAGGTCAGCCTACAGCATTGATTGTGAAGTTCCTGAAGTTTACCACTAAAGAGCTTATATTGCAGAAATCAAGAGGGGGGAAAGGAGCTGTTATGAGGAGAACCAGCAATTTAAAATACTGCTCTTTCAAGATTATGCCCATGATGTGGTTGCAGTGAGGCCAGCTTTTAACCAAGCAAAGCAATTGGCCAGGAAGATGGACTTGAATTATTTTAGTAAATATCTGCAGTACTCCATATTAAAAATGGCGAGAAGATAGTATCATTCATTTCCCCTCAGGAAGCAGGAAAGTACCTCAAAAATCTGCAAACTCCTCCCTAACAAGAGAAGACATCTTTGGAATCGTCTGACCATATGAAATTTGTATTGCTCTCTGCAATTTGATATGGCTGTTCTAAACAAGTTGATGGGCTCTAGTTGATATTGATATGTTAGTTCCTTTTCTTTTTTCCCCATCACTAATGGTTAAAGGGTGGTTATTGATTTAATTCCTATTGCCCTAGCTCACAGGAAAGGAGCATTAGTGTAAAATATATCATTTGGGTAGTAAATTTTATATAAAGCTTCGCTTTATTAGATACTGCTTCCTTATAACTAGTGTATCAAGGTTCTATTGGTATTAGGTGATTACTATAGCTGTAATGTTTGGGGTTCCAGGGGTGCGAGGATCTCCAAGTTTCACCTGACTTGTCTGCATCCTCTGTGTGACAAGTTTGTATATTTGGGCTGTAAACAGATTTTTCTTTTCCATTTGTATGGTACCAATGTGTATTTTTCTCTCCGCTGTCTCTTCTGTTTTGTTTTCACTTACCCTCTTTTGTTGCCCTCCTATTCTGTGAATTTCTTTCTCACTTTCTTAGAATATGTACAGGGAAGCAATACCCTATGCCTGGATCATATAACTTTTACTGCTTAGATATGCAAGAACTGTGTGCTGCTCAGGAAAACTTGCAATTTCTCATTTATTCAAAATGTGACTGTATATATTTTCCAATATATTTTAACAATGAAGCTTCTTATAATTAAATGTCTTCTGGAATATAAAGGGTTTTAGTAACCCTGTTAAAAGAAAAAAAATACTCATTACTTAAAAAGAATTTTGACATTGCCATGCTCTAGGAGACACATCTGGTGGAACATGAAGCTTGAAAACTGAATAGAGATTGGATAGGCCTCTCAATTTCTAGTTGCTTTAATTCTAAAGAAAGGGGCATTACTATACTAATGGATAAAAAGTTGAATGTTAATATTCTGAGCAGAAGGGTAGATTTCTGACAATGAGGGTAGATTTCCTGTCCTCAAGGCTCAAAATGACAATTCTGTAATTATCATTGCCCGAGTTGGAAGTGACGTCACTTCAGGGGCCGAACGCGCCGGGGGAAGGTGGGGGAGGCAGTTCCTCCCCAAATAGCCAGGTGTGGCCCTACGCACACTCCGGCCCCCCATGCCGCCCACCTTCCTGGGGCTGGGAAGGCTGCAGTGGCACCGCCGCATGCTCTCCCTCCCAGTGTGCTCTCCCTCAGGTGGAAGGGGTGGGGCTGGGGTAACCTCCCCCAGCCAGTGGTTCACCCTCCAGCCAATTGCGCTGGCCTGTGGGGGGGGCCCCCCAAAGCGCAGGGCCCAGAGCGGTCACCCTGATTCACTGTTACCTAGGGACGGCTCTGCTCCCTAGTTCCTTGTAGTTCAAGTGTCTGCCTTCATTTTCTTTTGGGGTAATATTTAAAGGTCTCCTATAGGATCTAATTCTTGTTACATAAGCTGTGTCAGGCTGCAGTAGCTAATTCTTTAGGTTTATTTGATGGTCCCCTTATTCTTTCCTGGAGTCAAAGGACTTCTGGAACTAAACTTACCCACCTGTGTACCTCATATGGAAGCCTCTTTGTCTCTTGGTCCTGGAAAGCAGCTTTTCAAATAGCAGTAACTTTGGCCCAGTGGGTAGGAGAATTGACCATCCCATTACAATAATTAAACACTTTAAGTGCTAACTGAAAAAAGCATAGCATTCCAGCCAGCTAGTCCTCCAACTATGGCACATTATCCTCCTCCCATCTTCACCTACATGTACCTCCTTTTCCAGGCTCACTGTTGCATCTATTTTAGTGTTCAGTTGGGGTCTAGTTCTTCCATGTTTTCATGGAGAAACTGGGAAGCTATACCTAGATAGGTGAGTATAGCTGAAACCTTTGTTTTTCCTTCTTTGTATTCATACTGCTTGGGACAGCTACTTGGAACACATCACTTTACACTGATAGCAAGAGGACCCCAGAAAACAGAATTTCTTGATTATCCGTTCTTTTCTGTGAACAGGCTTAATTACTATTGACACTTGTCCTTTGGTCAAAAAATTGGTCCTCCTCCCCTTAAAAGTAGTTATTGTTGGTACTAATCCAAAACAAATTACAGCACTGAAAGTCCTCATGCTAGGAGCAGAGAGATCCTGGCAGAGATGAAATATGGGGATTAGAAATTATCTGTTGTCAGTGTGCTTGATTGATGGGAAGGGATACCCATCACTCTGCATTTGTTGAATCATATCACGTATCAGAATTAGTAGTAGAATTTCTGTGTGTATGGAGGCTAGCAGCAGGCAAAAAACTGTATTGTTAGTTTAAAGCTATTTATCAATGATTCTGCAATGTTTAGCTAAATTGTGATTGTTTTATGATGTCATAGACATCAGGGTCTATTTCTGTTGACTGACTTCAGCTGACAGTTAATTTAAACATTTTCATTTTTGTACAATTTTGTACAAGGGGGAGATTACTATATTTATGAGTTCCTTTTTAGTGCAGCTAATTTGCATAGATTAACTGCTGTATGCCAAAAAATTATACTGCCAGTTCATAGTAACCAATTGTACTAGTAATGAATTTCACATTTAAGCTTTATGGACTTGGAGAGACTTGCTAAAATAATCTCCATTTGGAAAACTTGTAGACTAGTCATACTAGAGACCATTTTTGGTTGGTTTATAGGGTTTGTGGTTTAGCTATTTCATTTGTCCTGTTTAAATAATCCTACTGGGTGGATAGCTAAGACAATGAAATTTTGTGGCTTGCAGAGGAAACCACAAATCTCTGTTAGTACATAGAAGTCCTATTTTTATAGATTTTTGAACTAAAAAAAAAAAAAAAAAGACTGTTATGATCATCTAGTGCAGGGATTGGCAACCTTTGGCATGCGGCCCGCCAGGGTAAGCACCCTGGCAGGCCGGGCCGGTTTGTTTACCTGCCACGGCCACAGGTTCGGCTGATCGCGGCTTCCACTGGCTGCGGTTTGCCACTCCAGGCCAATGGGGGGGGAGTGGGCGGGAAGCGGTGGCCAGCACATCCCTCGGCCTGCGCCACTTCCTGCAGCCCCCATTGGCTTGGGACAGCGAACTGCGGCCAGTGGGAGCTGCAATCGGCTGAACCTGCGGCCGTGGCAGGTAAACAAACCAGCCCGGCCCGCCAGGGTGCTTACCCTGGCAGGCCGTGTGGCAAAGGTTCCCGATTCCTGATCTAGTGTGACCTTAGCTATACTAGTACTCAGTCACATTTTAGGTTACTGTATTGTATGAGGCCTTACTACACAAAGTGTTTATTCTCCTAACAACTGACTGACTCCTGTTCTTCACTGCCCTGCTGCCCTTCCATTATTGAATAACTGCACTCCAAATTATAACTAGCATTCATTTTGGTACATTCCCGAAGTTAAAATGCATGATGCAGAAAAGTGAAATTGCATTGCAGATAGATATTTTTTTTTCAGTTCAGTATAGAACAATACATGTTGTGAATATAAACAACTGCAGTCAAAATAAGTATGTATAATTTGAACCTTGACAAGAATATGCATGTATGAACGCAGGTTTTCTGTAAAATCCTGGAAACTTGGTAATCTCTATTTGACTATCCACTTGTAGTCGTCTTCCTCTTCCCCCTTTCCTAACTGAAAATGTTTGTTTGAACTATTTCAGGAGGATAAATGTTGCTTTGTAATAAGGTTTTTCTTCTCTACAGGTTTCTGCTTCAGTGTCTTGAAGATCTTGATGCCAATCTACGAAAATTAAATTCTCGTTTGTTTGTGATTCGTGGACAGCCAGCAGATGTGTTTCCCAGGCTCTTTAAGGTAAGCTCTAGGCAGAGGTGTGTTTTAATTCAAATGCTTCATTTTTCTTTTCATACGCTGTTTCACCTCCACTCAGAAGCTTTAGCTTTCAATCATCAAACCAGTTTTGTCTGGGAAGACTCGCTTCCTGTTGCCCTTTAACTTAAATGGCTACTCACCTAAATACCTTTGAATCCCTCACTACTTTTTACGGTTAGAGAGTTTGATTGGGCTCCTGTTCCGAGAAAGAAGCATTTAAAGAAATGTGTGGGTTTTTTGCTTAGCAGCTTCATTGTTAACTGATGTTCCCATTAATTGATTGAAATGATTTTGACTTTGCTCTTTTTTGTGTAAAATAAAATACAACTCATAATAGCTTGCAAAGTATATAAAAATTTTATGCTGTTGCTAACTTTCCTCCTGGTTTGACAATTCCCCCTGAAGTAGAAAGGAAGTTTTTTATTCTGGGAAAATTGTTCAAGGTTCATGGACAGAAATGTTATATTCATCCCTAATCTATAATGAGATTCCTGTATAGAGGTTAAATCCTTTGGTTGGTTTTTGAGTGGGTTCAGGGTAGGCTGCCGGGGGCGCCTCCCCCCCCCCCCCCCCTCGTATTATCCGTTGTGTCTCACTGTCTCATCTTATTGAGTCTGGAATCTTTTTTTTGGGGGGGGGGGGGAGAGAATCCAACATTTCAAACTGTTCCTCTTAAATTTATAAACTTTAAACTTGGAAATTGAGGGATCATAACTTTTCTAATTGTATGGAATCAAGCTATAATTGCTAGCTGTCAAGCTAATTCTGCTAGATACTGCTTGACTTATTTTGATAAAGTTAGACACCTAGCCTCTAAAAGGATTTATGTTGAGGATGTTTAAAGTTTGTGTGGGGAGTTTATTACTAAACAATTCAAACCTGCCAGGGATTGTGTGTGAATCCCTTATGCTTAACAATCTGTCCTACCTTGTATGTAGCTTGGACATCTGGGTATGTCTACGCTGCAATTAAACACCCCTGGCTGGCCCACGTCAGCTGACTTGGGCTTAGGCTATGATGCTGTTTAATTGTGATGTAGCTATTCGGGCACGGGCTGGAGCCCAGGGTCTGAGACCCTGTCAGCTGACACTGGCCAGCTGTGGATATTAAATTGCAGTGTAGACATACCCTCTGGTTAACTTCTCCAGATCTGAGGAAGAGCTCTGTGAAGGTCGAAAGCTTGTTCTCCTCCTTTGAGTATTGTCCTTATGAGTGTTCCACTTCAGTTGCACATGTGCCTTCAACAGGAGATTTCTTTATAGTGGGTTTTTTTTTTTTTTTTTCTCTTTGGCCTGTGTTGGAGTTTCGCAGTGTCCACTTTGGGCTTGCCTTATAGATTTTTCTTGTCCTAGTTGTTAGTTTACTTAGTGTAGGGTAGCTGGTAGTTGGTTTATATGAAATCTGTTTTGTCTTTTTTTTTATTATATTCTCCCTCTGGGAGGGTTTTTACCTCAACGGGAGGGTATTCCTGGTTAACTGGGGTTCAAACGCTTCCCCACTTTCCAGGAGGCCATCCTGGTGAGCAGTGGGCATTCCCACTGTATCCATTGCCTTGGGGAAACACACATCCCTTAAAAGTGCAACTTCTGCTTTACACTTCAATTCAGAGTTAGGAAGAACTGGAAAATTTAAACGGAGACTCCTCATGATAGAACGGGTGGCCAACCTGAGCCTGAGAAGGAGCCAGAATTTACCAATGTACATTGCCAAAGAGCCACAGTAATATGTCAGCAGCCCCCATCAGCTCCCCCGCTCTCAGTGCCTCCCCCTCCCTCCCCATGCCTACCGATCAGCTGTTTCGTGGCGTGCAAGAGGCTCTGGGAGGGAGGGGGAGGAGCGAGGGCATGGCAGGCTCAGGGGAGGGCGCGGGAAGGGGTGGAGTGGGGGCAGGGCTTGTGGCAGAGCCAGGGGTTGAGCAGTGAGCACTCCCCAGCACATTGGAAAGTTGGCGCCTGTAGCTCCAGCCCCGGAGTCGGTGCCTATACAGGGAGCCGCATATTAACTTATGAAGAGCCGCATGTGGCTCCGGAGCCACAGGTTGGCCACCCCTGTGATAGAACATTCCCTGCCACCCTTCGTCCCGCCATACACTGGTCTCCAATCAACAGAAGTGCCCCTGCCATCTCAGCACAAACACTCTCTAGAGGAAGATTCCTGTAGAGACCTCTCAGAAAGACTGTTAAGAGTATGTCTGTGCTGCAGTGTAAGCCCAGGCTTAATAGAACTCAAGTTAGCAGACGCTGGGTTTGTTAACCTCGGGCTTGAGCCTCTATACTCATTTGTAACCCCAGGTTAGGAATTGTTGAACCCTGGGTCCAGTCTCTACATTGCATCATGCGGGCCCACATCCAACCACCCATATCCCAGCCTTCCTAGCGCCCTTCCAAAATGTGTTCACTCTAGTCCTGTGTTTGTGGTGCAGTGTGGGAAAACTGTCCAGGGGACAAAGAAAGTAGGCCCGTGGGATTGTGGGATACCCTGGGAGTCCACCAAAAGTGTGACTGGCCCATGTCCAGTGATTCAAGCTGTGAGGCTATAAAACTGCATCTTGGTTTTCTCTTTCCTTTTGAGGTAGTTTTTTAAAAGTCACTTTGATCATTTTTGGATTAATTCTCACTGGGAATTTAGCTTCCCATGCAGTTAAAACTGACAGGAATGCTTAAAGGGCAGCATTTATTCTCTGAGGAGGTGGTGTTGAATAATGGCTAGAGGGAGGCCTGGCTTTTAGTTTATCTTTGCTACTGCTGCTCTTAAGGTTTTTGACTTTTTCTGATGTGCAAGACTGGATTATTATCTAATTAGGTGTGGGGGAATAAGTGTCTCTTCCCCTCCACCCCCCAGCAACTGGTGTTTCTAACTAACACTTTTTTCCTGAATTTCAGGAATGGAACATTGCAAAACTTTCTATTGAATATGATTCTGAGCCATTTGGGAAGGAGAGGGATGCAGCAATTAAGAAGCTGGCTAGTGAAGCCGGAGTGGAAGTCATTGTACGAATTTCACATACATTATATGACTTAGACAAGTAAGTTACCACTGTCTTAAATTTACAGAGTAGGAATCTGTGGTTTTTATGCAGCATTCAGTCATTGTTTTGCACAGAAACTGCAATGCACAGTTTGCAGTCTTTACTGTATGCTTAGTCAGGTTTCATTCCTCCTCCTTCCACCCCCTAGTGAAATAATGACATCTTATTTCAATACTAAGTAGAGTTTTGAACTCCAAAATGGGTCAAGGAAGCCAACATATCAGTCCTTTAATAAAATATGCCATAATCGGTCTATAAAAATGGCTGCATATTTTTTGTGGGGATATGGTGCGTTAGTGCCTATAATTCACTTTTACATAGGATTTATCGTTTTGTTTAAATTTTAGTTTTTGTATATAGTTCAATGTATACCAGTTTTTAACAGTTCTATCATTCCATACCATCAGGGTGATAAAGAACCTGCTAAGAATACTAATGGTCAAGATCAGTACCTTTTGCTTCAATTATTGCAGTCTTCACTATGCAAATATGTCAAGAAGTTTAAAGTACTTAACTGTTTCTAGTGAGCTAGTTCTGAATCAAACATTTTCCAAACACTCCCTTTCTTTCATTTATGTATCTAGAAAGTTATTGGGGATTGCTTGATATCACCATCTTGCCTTGCACGATGTCGTTTATATTTTTCTAAGGACCACTGTTTTTAATGGATTAGTACTAGATCCCTATTATACATACATAATCCACAAAATGTAAAGTATTGGTCCCATTGAGATTCTGATAAATTTATTAACTATGTTGTAATTTCCAGTTTTATACTATTATAGCTAATTTAAAAGTTATTCATTTAAAATCTCTCACATTTATATTTTTTTCCCATTGTTTGGAACCCAGGGGTTGATCTTTCATCAATAGGTGGGGGGAACAAATTAATTAAGTAGTTAAAAAAACAAAAACATTGCCGCTCCCTCTGCACAACATGGTTTTACCATTCTATAACACAATATTAGGGTTGGTTTGTTTAAATTCTGCTTCAGTGTTCTCTGGAGTTTTGGGTATATCTGAAGCAAATTATTCTTTTGAGGAAAAAGTGGAGTATAGAAGCGGGGTGGGGTGTGTGCATGCATGTACAATGGCTGCCATTCAAAGCATTAGATCTTCATTTTTTGCATAAGTGAAGTTACCACATTATTCCATCGGAATACCACAGTAATCTTTTCTTCCAAATTGCAGTTGTAAAGCTTTTAATTGGTGGCTTGTATGTATGTCTTTGCAATAACTTTATTTTTACTGATGTCTGTAATCTGTTTGAGGATGTGTATATATTTGTTTACCTTAAAAATTATTTATTCATTATTTGTTTACTGCAGAGGGGTTTTTTTTTTTTTTTCAACCCAGAAAGCAAGAATAGTAATCACTTTGTTTATGCAGTTAAGTTCTTCTGTCTCCCTAGTGGGATTGGAGTGGTATAATTAAGGTTTAAACGGTCTAGTTTAGTGTGTGTATGTGTGTGTATATGTATGTATAAACAACAGAATTCAAACTGCAGGTAAGAACAAATTTTGTGTGTGATATATAAATGTAAATTTGTAATATGCACTTGTATGAAATGCAGGCATTTATGTTTTTTGAACACAGGATTATAGAATTAAATGGGGGACAGCCACCTCTTACCTATAAAAGATTTCAGACTTTAATCAGTAGAATGGAACCACTGGAGATGCCAGTGGAAACCATCACTGCAGAAGTAATGGAAAAGTGCACTACTCCAGTTTCTGATGACCATGATGAGAAATATGGTGTTCCGTCACTAGAAGAGCTAGGTATGTTATAAGACTTATATTCATTCATTGCACTGTTAGACACATTTTCAATATTACTTATAAAATGTCCTACATGGTTATTTCAGTCTTGTTCAGGTGACTTTTATGCTTAAACTTCATAATTAAACTAAAACTGCTGACATCAGATCAACCTAAAGCAAAGGTGGAAAGCCTAAACAAGTGACTTCAAGACTTTTTTTTATTATTATTTTTGTACGAGGCTAGATGGATAGGTAAAACCCTATATTTTTTGGCTTCCTGCAGCATAACCATCTTCCCATGATATCAGACCACACTTCAGAGCACACTTGTTTTGAAAACATTGTACTGGCTAATGTGCTTAGAATCATAGGACTGGAAGGGACCTCGAGAGGTCATCTAGTCCAGTCCCCTGCATTCATGGCAGGACTAAGTATTATCTAGACCATCCCTGACAGGTTTGTCTAACCTGCTCTTAAAAACCTCCAATGATGGAGATTCCAGAACCTCCCTAGGCAATTATTCCAGTGCTTAACCACTCTGACAGGAAGTTTTTCCTAATGTCCAACCTAAACCTCCCTTGCTGCAATTTAAGCCCATTGCTTCTTAACCTATCCTCAGAGGTCAAGAAGAACAATTTTTCTCCCTCCTCCTTGTAACAACCTTTTATTTACTTGAAAACTGTTATCATATTCCTTGTCAGACTTCTCTTTTCCAGACTAAACAAACCCAGTTTTTTTCAATCTTCTCTCGTAGGTCATGGTTTTCTAGACCTTTAATCATTTTTGTTGCTCTTCTCTGGACTTTCTCCAATTTGTCCACACCTTTCCTGAAATGTGGTCCTCAGAACTGGACACAATACTCCAGTTGAGGTCTAATCAGCGCGGAGTAGAGCGGAAGAATTACTTCTCATGTCTTTCTTACAACACTCCTGCTTACATACTTACAGCTCCTCTTTTGCATTGAACACCTTCCCTATCTTTGTGCTTCAGGATAGTACCCTGTGTTCATACAAAACTGTGCTAAAAACCTGTTTCTGCAAAGTCACAAAGACATTATCAGGAAGTAAACGAAGTAAAATAATAAGACTCCTTTATCCTCACTCTGTTTGTAGTGTATTTAATCTTCAGTCACTTCCATTAAACACAAGCAAATATGACTTTGCCTCCAGGTTGTCACCATAGGTGTCTGGAAAAATCTTGTCACACCTCAATTGCTCTGTCTAGTCCAGTTCAATTCAAATCACACAACTTGGGTCTAATAAAACAAAAAGTAAAACATGTATTTGATCAATTTAGCATATAATTAAACACTTAGTAACAACTTTGCACATCACTTTTTATATAATATTGTTTACAGTAATGATCTGTTTCATTACCATTGTTGTTTGAATCTGGCAAACACAAGTGCACATATGAAAACATGTCAGACTAAACATAGCATGATAAATGAAAGAGATACTGACAAATTGAACTTTTTGACATTCACCATCAGTTTCTCCTGGAACACCTTTTAAATATGTCCGGACCCTTACAAATCATTTAAAAACATTTTTATAAGGATTTTTCTGCTCCTGTAACAAATGTCTTTTCAATCTGGGGGGGGGGGGGGAATGGGGGGATTACTAGCGTCTTGTTACAGTATTCTAGTGTAATTTGTCACTATAGCAGGTATAGAATTGTCATACAAATTTTCAAGTTGACCTCATCCATTTCAAAAATTGCAGTTTTAAGGCCCAATCTAACAAAACTCTTAAGCATTTACTTCAGTGACACTACTGCACTGATTACTGCGTCCCTTTGTTATGCAGCATACCCTTCTCATTGGTTACTGAGTTAGTCCCTGGTTCTCTGCTCTGCTCCCAGACACTCAGTTTTTCAATAGAATAGAATAATAGAACTATAGAGTTGGAAGGGACCTCAAGAGGCCATCTAGTCCAGCCCCCTGTGCTGAGACAGGACCAAGTAAACCTGTTCTTAAAAACCTCCAATGACAAGGATTCCACAACTTCCCTGGGAAGCCTATTCCAGTGCTTAACTATCTTTACAGTTGGAACGTTTTTCCTAATATCGAACATCTAAGCTAAATATCCCTTGCAGCAGATTACCTTCAGTGTACATGGAGAATATAAAGACTTGTCTCTGTAAATTTTGGTTTCAAATTTAAAATTTGTCAAAACAAGCTGTTTCCATTTTGGCTGGTTTTTGTTATGCATTCTTCAAAATCTAATGGAAAAGGTTGTCTCTTTAAAAAATAAAAACCTTGGTAGTTCTTCCATCCCAAATGTTAGAGCTGAGAACTCAAAAATGAAACTGTAAACAAAAATGAAAATAGTTTGGTTTTTTTAAACTGTCCATGCCGAGGGAAATGTAAAAAGGAATTGAAGTAAGATCTGTCCACCCTTGCCTTTTATAATAGAGCATAAAAATCATATTTAAGCTGGTTGCAGGTAAATGGTGTTCTAAAGTAGTTTGCTAGGACTTGTCACTTTGGCGAACGTTTTAAAAGCTGTATTCTGCTATCCAGTGATGTTCTCAAACCATGATACAGTTATTCTCCAAGAATAGGGATAACTACTGTTTCTTTGTGCTACAGTATTAAAAAATGTATTTTTTTTTTCTTCTTCTTTTAATTCACTCATCAGGTTTTGATACAGATGGTTTGCCTTCAGCAGTGTGGCCAGGTGGAGAAACAGAAGCTCTCACACGACTGGAAAGGCACTTGGAACGAAAGGTACATTGCAGATCATTGCTGTAAGCAAAAATTGACATCTTGAAAACCATGGTTAATTACTGTTACAAATAAGTGTGGGGAAAAGAAGAACAGAATTTCCAGGAAACTACAACCAAAGACATATATCCTGATACAGATTAAATAGCTATTTTATTTTTTGTAATGATTTTTAAAAGTCAATAAAAATTTAGACTTTCAACTTTTATAAAAATTGAACAACTAGAAGAAAATTTGATAACATCTCACGTAGTTTTGAAAAATATATGAACCCTTTTTCCAGTGGAGATACCTTCAATAAAGTCACAAAAAGTGACTATAAAGATAACTTCTTAATCATCAGTTATGTTTCAATTGTATATTCAACTTTAGAATCTTCTTCTCTGCCTGTGAATCATCTAGTCTGTATTCTGCCAATTTGTTTTTCTTTTTCTAAGGCTTGGGTAGCAAACTTTGAAAGACCACGAATGAATGCAAATTCCCTTCTTGCAAGTCCCACAGGGCTTAGTCCCTATCTGCGGTTTGGCTGTCTGTCATGTCGCCTTTTTTATTTCAAGTTAACAGACCTATACAAAAAGGTATGAACTCAACTTGGTCAGATACTCATGTTTATATATAGTGAAAAAAATTCTAATAAAATGTGTTTTCTTTTTGTGATGCCTTTCAGGTAAAGAAGAACAGCTCCCCTCCCCTCTCCCTTTATGGCCAACTCCTGTGGCGTGAGTTTTTCTACACAGCAGCTACTAATAATCCACGCTTTGATAAAATGGAGGGAAATCCCATCTGTGTTCAGATTCCATGGGATAGGAATCCTGAGGCTTTGGCCAAGTGGGCAGAAGGCAGGACAGGATTTCCTTGGATTGATGCAATTATGACACAGCTCCGTCAGGAAGGTTGGATTCACCATTTAGCCAGACATGCTGTGGCATGCTTCTTGACTCGAGGTGACCTGTGGATTAGTTGGGAAGAAGGAATGAAGGTACAATTTTTCATTAATGAATTTCTGATGTAGATAATAAGAATTAAATACAAACTATACCCATTGGTAAATGCATCAAAGTAGGTTTTAAAGCTTAAACTGTGGTCAAAAAATTTAAACCATGTAGTTATGGTAGGTGTGTTGAGGCCTAACTTTCAGGTGCAGAGCATGCCCTTTTGTAGATGTCTAGAAATGACCTTTGGTGCTTAACTTTAGGTAACCCAGTTTGAAAATTGAGGCCAGCAATTATTAAATCCATGGGTTCTTTTAAAATCTAAATAGAATATGGGGAAATTGAGTAGATGACCTCTTGAGGTCCCTTTCATCCCTACATTTCTATGATAAGAATAAATACAGATTATTCATCAGCTAATAGAAATTATTTCCCAAACATACTCTCCACCCCCCTTCCAAAAAAGAAACCACCCACCTTTTCTTTTCAGATTAGTAGAGAAAACAAGATGGGAACTGAGGTGGGGGCGGGAAAGTAAGTGTTGAGGACACTCGGCACCTGGCCGTATCAGACCCATACATGTTGGACAACATGATTTGTGAGTAATCACAATTAATTAGTCCAACTAACTAGTACCAAATCTTCCTAAAACTGGAGACATGGCCATTCAGAGTACAAAGTTGTGTCAGTCTCATTGTTATTATTTGCATCATTCTTTGTTCAGTCCTTGCTTTTGTTTGTGTTTCAGATAATAAAACAAATCTCTAAATATGGTCACAATTTTTTTTTTAACTAATTACAGTTCTAAACAAAGTTTTTACTGTTTGAAACTGAGTTGTGTTCACTTCCTTCTTCCTGTTTCACATGTAAACAGCACTCTTGGTTATGCAAGTAATTGCATGAAAAATCCTAAGGCAGCTTGTCTTATGCAATTTATACATGTGTAAATTGTATGTCTGTATGCCTATAACATACAGCTTTGTGCATTTGATTGTACATATTACAGTTATTATTTGGCCTACCCTTGGAGTAAATAACCCAAGGTACAGAGGAACATATTTGTGTAGTACAAGAAGAAATAAATGATACCTCTCTGTGCCGGTGAGAGTGAATCTCTCCTGCTAATTCTAGGTAGTGTGTTATACAATCTTAGCAAGTATGCTTGAAGGGGAGCATCTAGTGGACCCATTGTGTACTTACATTTTGTCTCTCACCAGCAGAAGCTGGTCCAGTAAAAGATATTACCTCACCCACCCTGTATCTCTAAACTTGTTAGATTGGTAGCCACTTCAATTTAAAAATGCTTAAAAAGCATTTCAACTAAATGTTTTTCAAAAAATACATAACTTAATTGTTTTAATAAAAAGGCATAGTTGCAGGTATTCATGTAACAGTTTATAGGTTTTTTTAATATCTTCTTTAAATAGCTCTTGTTAACTGATACTGATTGAACTCTACTTTTTAGCTTTCTGCAGTGTTCTAATAGTGAATTTGGAATGAAGTATTAAACGCAAGTTTAGCAAGAAAAGACCTAATAACCCCTACCCTCCCACACACACTTTTTTGCTGTGTATTAAACTTTACTATTTTATTTCTGATTTCTAGCAGAACATATTAATTCTAGTCATGGATCACATTAATATTTGTGGTTTACTATTGTCCTGGGAAGGGAATTAGATTGTTTGTTACCTAATCACAAGATGTTCTATATAAGTTTTAAAGGAAAAGTAACTACTCACTGAATACTTTTAAAATGTGTGCTAAATAAGAATATATGTATTGAAAAGGAACTTTCAAAGCAACTTTAGAAAACCTTTTCACTATTTTAGTATTTTCCTTCAAGGAATAAGATTCTCTCTCTTTCAGACAACAATCTTAATGATGCGTCTAAGCAGGGGAGCTTGTTTTATGCAAGTTAGGATTGATCAGATGGGCTTTCTCTATAGAAAGCACTGGAAATTTGAAATTCTTCTTTGAGTGTCCTCTACGACTACGTAGTCCCTCTCTTGGGACTGGTGCAGCAGGATAGTAGAATCTTCTAGTAGAAGTGCCCATTAGGTGCCCACACTCCCCTGCATCTAGTGCTCAAATGTGTTCTGAGGGTGAGATTTAAAGAGGTTGTGGCACTGTTGGCACCTCATTTCCTTCCAGCTGCAGCAGTAAAAGAATGTGAACCAACAGATCTCATGATCCACTAATACTTATTGCCTGTATCTTAGTGTAGTGTTGTTAGTTTAATAGTTTTATAGTTAGTAGTCTATAGTTAGTTTTTACTGTAACCTATACATTAGGTTAGATTTAGATTAGATCGTGGATTTAAGGAAAAACTTTATTTTTCAATACGATTGATCCCAGTATGAAGAAACACAGGTTCAAGCAGTGCGTGTTGTGCCCAGAGGTCTTCCTGGTATCTGACCTGCAGGTTCAGTGTTTTAAAATGTTTTGGAGGGAGCCATTACCCATCTATAGCACATTCACATCTTGGGCTGGCAAAGAAAGACAAAAGAGTCTTTAGACCTTTTATTACTGGTGGTTTTGTCTGTCAAGCTTCTGGGATCCAAGAACTCTAAAGGATCTAAAGGAAAAAAAGGATGGGAGGCCTGAATCAGCTCTGAGTACATCTGAATTCAAGAAAATTGAATCACCGAAGGGATTGGTCCTGGCACTAAGTTCCAGTTCCAGATTGGTGGATTTGACCAATTCTAAACCCTCCGATACGACTCAAAAAATGAATGCGTTATTCTGTGGAACTGGTTTCCGACTGTGTCTCATGGCTCTCCTGATAAGAGACTGAGATGGGATACTAAATGCAGAGAATCTCCAGTATCAGTTCCACAATCTAAGACCCTCAACTGGATCGTTAAGAAGGGACTTGTCACCACTTTACATGATCCAGATCCCTACCATGGTCACTTCACTTGCTGCTTCAATATTGGATCCACAGATATAGAGCCAGATCCCACGAGCATGCCTGGGATCTGATCATTTTCAGATCAGAATTTCCCTTCTTGGCACCTTATATTCTGAACAAAGAATATAATGAAGGATTGGAGTGACCAGCAGGATTGCCCTATATGACCTTGGAGTCCTTAGCCATATTGGTCAACCTGAGCTTACCACTGTCACTTTATGAAGCATGAATCTTCAGTCCTGGTACATCTTTCACCGGAACCGAGGGGCCTGGCTCTGACACCTAGAGAATTTTCCCCATCCTTGCTACAGGAGACACTATTTGATGAAGAGCATCAGAGAACATCTCCTCTACAGAAATTTCAACAACAATATATGGAGCTTGGACAGTGGCTCATCTCCTGATGAAAATGTGGGTGTAATTGCAGCAGCCTCTCTTGAGGATGTGATTTTAATTTCATGAGCTAATGGATAGGGTGGCATCAAGTTTAAAACTACCATCAGTAGCTTTGAAAGAAACCACGCATCTGGTTTTTGACATTTTGGGCTCTACTGTAAAGAGTAAGGTCCCATTGCCCATTTTGGAAGATCTCTGGCAGCTATAAAAATCTCTGGTCCAATACATCTTCATGTCAATCAGCTTTAAAAAAGGCAGATAAATTATGTCAGGTCCCAATGAAGGGTTCTCCTATTTTCATGTGCACCCTCATCCTAATTCTGTAGTGGTAGCAGTAACAGTTTGGTGATCCAGATCAGGTCTACGTTTGATGACTTCAACTCCTTATGACAGAGAGAGGAAAAAGTTGGACTCCCTAGGGAGAAAATTATTTTTGCCAGCTTCTTTAAACATGCATGTGGCCAATTATCAAGCAGCAGTGGCCAAATATTAATTTCACTTCTGGGAGAAGATCTCAATGTTAACCAAGTACCTCTCAGAGGATCAGAGAAGCTTAACAACCACTCTCATTAAGAAGAGCCAGAATGTGGCAAAACATGCCCATAGGGCATTGTTTGATGTTTCTGACACCGCTTCAAGAGCTATGGCATCAGCAGTAGCTCTCCACAGATATACATGATCTTCATCTTTGCCTGTGGAAACAAAGACAAAAATTAAGGATTTACCTTTTGAAAGAAACGGGCTGTTCAGTTCAAAAACTCTTGAAGTGCTGGAGAAAATGGACACACACTCCACTGCCAGATCTATGGGGTTATTACCTCCTTATTGTAGAAGGACATCTGCATTTATCAAATTTCAGAAACCATACACCAGACCCTTGCTAGAACACGGGATTTGAGATCCATGCCAAGTACAGCGTTATAGCGGGGACCACATTAAAATGAAATTATATTTTTGTGACCAAAATTTCAATACAGGTATATGTAGTTGTGTATTCGCAGGTTATAGCGGGCTAACAATAGCATCAAAACTTGGAACTGTCACGAAAAACGAGTCTACAAGATACAGTACTCACCACGGGCGTCAGTGGAAATTGCGTTTTGAAATGAAGCGATTTTAATGAATTTGGTTAAATGCTTTGTGTGCTTTGTTTTGATTGTCCGCTTTCAAGCGCCATGAACTTCCATCTTCGCATATGGAATGCCATAGAGAAAATTATATATTCTGTATATATAAATATGTATATAGAAATTTTTGTAGCACTAATTACCTTCACATCCATAAAGTATAGAAAACCTTAGAAAATAAACTCCTACTTGAAGGAAACAGTAAACGAGAAAAAAGTGTTGCTTTATTAGAGATTTAAAGTAGACATTACAATAAACTAGTCTACTTTTTCTTTAAAAAGTCGGTGAGTTGCTTTTGCTTTTTGCTGCTGTGCTGCTTCCGCTTAGCAAACTGCAAAAGACTACGTAGCCGTATAATTTTTATAGGCTCAACGTCTTGGGTCTCAAACCATCTCAAAGCAGTCTCTAAGCCAGCTGCAGTCGCAGTTGACGTTGGAACGATGTCCACTTCATCTTCCTCCTCTTCTTCCACGGCGAAGGCCAATTCTTCAGCTTCTGGAATGTTGTTTGGTCATACTGCCTGAAGAATTTGGTCATCTGTTAGACTTTCAGCAACGGGACAAAATTCTTCTGCTTCATCATCGCCTCTTATCCAGGACGTGATATTTTGTGGCAGAACAGTTACCCTGAGCCCATATAGTTGCTGGGACAGCTCCTGCATCCACTCCATGTCTGTTCTTCCAACTTCCTCCTCTGTAAATCCCTCTAAGTCAAATTCCTCGTCAGACTGTGATATAGTATGTGTGTCTTTCCTCCAACGATCTTGCATGTATGATAAGGTAATGAACACCAAGGTCACTTAAAACTCAAAAAAATTGTACTGTACTTAAATTTGGGATCCATGGCCACTACCGCGTTATATCCAAATTTGCGTTTTGACTTCTACCTTTTGGCCTTTCTGCCACACCCAGAGTCCACCAAATGCATGGGTCTGTTAGCAGCATATATGAGGAGAAATTTTTTTTTCGTCTTCCTGTATTTAGACAGTTGGCTTCTGAAGGCTCCATCCAAAGAAGAATTACAGAAAGCCATTTGGATTACTCACGTTTTTTGTTTAGAACACTAGGTCTTCTTATAAACAAAGGAGAGTCTTTTCTCACACCATCACAAAAGATTCCATTCATTGATGTGATTCTCGACTCCATAAAAGGAAGAGTATTCCATCTCTCTCAGAAGATAGTTTATTTAACTCTGTTGGGTCTGATGGCATCCACAACATATTTGACTCTGTATGCTGGGCTCAGAATGAGACATCTTCAACACTGGCTACAAAGAAATTTCAGACCCATTACAGACAGCATGCAAAAATTACTCACTGTTCTAAGGAATATTTGTCTTTTGCTAAGGTGGTGGCTGGAACCTCAAAATGCCCTCTAAGGAGTTTTTGTTCAGCCTTCCTTCTCCTTCTTTATTAATAACAGTAACCATAGATGCTCCAAAGACAGGGTGGAAGGGAACCTTTGCAGTCTGTTTATTCGAGGCCTTTTGAATGACAGAGAATCCCTGTTACACATAAATGTATTGGAACTGAGGGCAATCCAGTTAGCTGTCAGAGCATCTCTCTTACAGCTGCGAAATGCAGTAATTCAGGTGGCCACGGACAACGTGTCAGCAACATATGTGAACAAACAAGGAGGAACTTGATCATCTTAACTTTGCAAAGAGGCAGTAAAACTTTGGGATTAGTGTATCCAGCACAACGTACACTCAATTGCCTTGCAAGAAGCAAGTAAACATAATTTGATTGCAGATCAGCTGAACAGAGATTCTTTGCAGACAAATGAATGGTCTCTTAAAAAATAATATGGTAATTCAGGATATTTTTAGCCTTTGGGGATTTCTGGACAGAGACCTATTTGCAACCAGATTCAATATGAATTGTCCCTATTTCTGCTCAAAATCGGGCTTGGACAGCCTGTCATTGACCTATATATTCCCCCTAGATTGGGAAGGAGGGTTCAGTGTATGCATTTCCCCTCATTCCCCAGTGATAAAAAAGGTAAGGCAAGATTCTCATTGCACCAGAGTGGCCAAGACAACAGTGGTACACCGAATGACTTCATTTATCCAAAGGTAATGACAGAATTCTCCCGTTATCAATGGGTCTACTACCCCACCAGGAGGGGAAGGTTGTCCCCCCAGATCTTCAGTCGTTAAATTTGAGAGATTGGGCGATAGGCCTTTGACAGAGTTAGAAAGATTGTGCTCAGTTCAGATGCAAAGAATTTTAATTAATCCCAGAAAACTATCAACTACAAAAAAAATTATGGGTTCAAGTGAAGAAGATTGTTTTTGTGTTTTATGGGCAACTGGGAAAAGTGTTTGACCTGGTGTTAGCTCCAATACAACTTACTGTAGAATATCTATTATGCTTAAAAAGAGTGGGGTTGCCTCTGCCCTTCATTAAGGTTCATCTAGCTGCATACCATACTCATATTAATGGAAAAAATATATAATATATTTATTTGCATACACTGGTCAAAAACTTTTTGAAAGGGCTACTGAACGTGTATTCCCCAGTGCAAGACCCTGTCACTCCAAGGAATTTGAATTTAGTTTTGACTCATCTCTTGTCTAACTTGAGCTTATAGTTAGCTGCTCTTTGCTTCACTTCTCTGTGAAGACAGTGTTATGATAGCAATTACTTCCACAAGAAGAATTTGTGAACTACATGCATTGGTGGGAACCCTCCCTCCCCCCATGCACTTTTTATAAGGATGTGGTGGTTCTTAGACCAGACCCTGAATTTCTTCCTAAAATTGTTTCTGAGTTTTGTGTAAATCAGCCCATTAATCTATTCTTTCCAAAGCCTCATTCATCTGAAGAGAAAAATTTAGATTACATTCTTTAGATACCAAGAGAGTACTCTCATATTACTTAGATTGACCAAAGAGTTTTAAGTCTTCTTCCAAGTTATTTATTTCATATGCTGGTAACTCCAAAAGTAAAGTCATTTCTCTGTCCCCCTGTCTAGATAGGTTAGTGCATTTAAGAATGTTACAGAAGAGCTTCTTTCACCATTCCTAGCCTGTCCAGAGCTCATTCTACTAGAGCAGTAATTACATCTGTGGCTTTTTATAAACATATTGCCCTTATTGAGACATGCAAAGCTGCTACGTGGAAGTTGTTTCACATTTTCACAAAGCATTATGCATTGAATATGGCATCCCAGTTGCACACCCAGTTTGGTAGAGTGGTACTCCAATCCTTGTTTAGTTAGAACTCCGCATCCCTCTATTCAATTTGCTGTACTGCTTGCAAGACTATCCTAAGAGTGGGGATATGCTGAGGACACTCGAAGAAATGAAGGTTACTTACTTGTAACTGGAGTTCTTTGAGATGGGCTCTGCATATTCATGCTCCCTGACCACCTTCCCCACTCCTGCAGAGTCCAAATTAAAATATCTTGAGTTTTCTGCTCTAGCAGTGGAAGGAACTGAGGGGGCAATGTTGCCATGCCCCCTTTAAACTCTCACCATCAGAATGTGCTCAAGTGCTAGACAGGGTGGGCAGGGGAACACGGGTGCCTAATGAGCACTGCTAATAGAAGGTTCTACTATCCTGCACTGGTCGGTATGAGTCCCAAGGAGTGACTATGCAGTGATCTCTAAGAACTCCAGTTGTAAGTAACCTTCATATGTCAAAGCTATTAAGTTCTAGAATTTTTTAGAATAAGTAATTATTAAATGTTAACTTCACCTTGAACGGTCTCTTGCAACATATGTATCCTCATGTATAACAGTCTGTTCCATTTAGCTGTGACACTGAGTACCTTTCCCAGACCTGAAGAGCTCTGTGTAAGCTCAGAAGCTTCTCTCTTTCACTAAGAGAAGTAATCTAATAAAAGATATTACCTCGCCTACCTTGTCTCTCTAATTATTAAGTTAACTGTTAAGTTAATTGAAACATCTTCCAAAAAGCTATAAAAGTTAACTTTCTCACTAGAAAGCATTAGGAAATTAATGTAGCTTTCTAGTAGAGTACGTACGGAGCTAACTGGGAAAGAAAATTCCACCCCGACCAGAGACAGTGTGGCCTAGTGGGTAGAGCACAGCACAGGGATTCAGGAGACCTAGGTTCTATTCCTAACTCTGCCACTAGCCTACTTAGGTGACTTTGAGCGAGTTATTTCACCGTTCTTTGCCTCAGTTTTGCCTCAATCTGTAAAATGGATTTGTGCAAAATATGTCCAACTTCTGTGCTGTAGAAGCCAGACACTATTCAGACACTTTTCCACTATCCCACTTGAATGGACTTATAAAGAGGTACTTGTGTAAGTATTGAGCACTTTTTAGATGTTACCAAGTCTGGGCAAATGTCAGAAAAGATAGGATTTCAACATTTAAGAGCATAGTTTCCTGTACTGACATCTTGATAGCTGAGCAATGCTTAGGAGTGTTTGTGGAAAAATTTAACACATTTAGAATAACTTGATACTGTTATTTCTCAAGGTGTTTGAAGAATTGCTGCTTGATGCGGATTGGAGTGTAAATGCTGGAAGCTGGATGTGGCTTTCCTGTAGTTCGTTTTTTCAGCAGTTTTTTCACTGCTACTGTCCTGTGAGTTTTGGCAGAAGAACTGATCCTAATGGGGATTACATCAGGTAATCTCACATACAATCCTCCCCAGAAATATAAAGCTATCATTAAAGTTGCCTCAGTTTCAAACAGCTGTGTGTTTTAAACTATACTTTTTTCTTTTTTCTTTAAAGACGTTATTTGCCTATACTTAGAGGTTTCCCTGCAAAATACATATACGATCCTTGGAATGCCCCAGAGAGCATCCAGAAGGCTGCAAAATGTGTAGTAGGAGTTCATTATCCTAAACCAATGGTAAATCATGCAGAAGCAAGCCGCCTGAATATTGAGAGGATGAAACAAATCTACCAGCAGCTTTCACGATACAGAGGATTGGGTATGACTGTAGTCTCCTTCATGTATTTATTTGAGATTTTGTCTCCCCTTCTAGTTGTGACAACCCATTCTGTAGCCATGGTGGCCAGATATGAGCCCAGTGTCAGGGGTAGCCTCGTTAACTGACTAAAGTGGATTATAAGAGCAGTGTACTGGTAACACTTACTTTTTCCCGCTCACTCACCTCTTCCCAGCACTTTGCAATGTATCTCGTCTGCACCTGCCTAGGGAGTTAGTCCTGAAGTTTCTTTTAAGGTCATGTCATCTCCTGGGCATCAAATTAGTCTTGTGTAGATTAATTTTACTACCAGATAGAACTATTGCATGAAAAAGTTACAGTGGAAAAGGTCTTGCAACCTTAACTGTACAATCTGCTATTCACAAACATGGTGGTTTATCTTGAGAAATTAATTTGAACCCTTTGTTTACATTCTTCCATCCATGTATAAAAGTCCACTTCTCCCACTGTTGTGCAACATGTGCATTTGTTGACACCTGCCTGTCCAAATAATGGTTGTAATCCAGGGATACAGGGTATGCATAGATATGAAGTAACTTGTGATGTCTCTTGCACTAAAATGCACCATATTTAACATACACAATTAAAGTTTCTTGCAAAAATAATACTGACTTTTTGATAAGTAAAATAATTATAATCTAAAATTTCTTGGACAGATATTCCAATTTACAGTAGAGGGGGGAAAAAAATAATTCTCTCCACTGATGAAGTTAAACTATTAAAGAAAATACTCTTGGGAGACAAGGGAAGATATATACTAAATCAAAATATATTTGCTTCCCTCAATATTGTTAGCAATTAATTTTGTTTCCTTGATTAGGTCTTCTTGCAACAGTGCCTTCTAACCCAAATGGAAATGGTGGCCTAATGGGATATTCACCAGGAGAAAACATCTCTGGTTGTAGTAGTGCAAGTGGTAAGTAAAATCTCCTATTCTGACAAAAGTATTGGAACTGAGAAGTTGTACAAATTCCTTAAGTGAGCCCCCTAGTATGCTATTATGTAGAAACAGCTACCCTCACGAAAACAGTTTTGTGAAAACTGCTCTTAAGAATGTTTTCAGATCCACTCTTCCACCATAGTTAATTTTTGCATGGTTATATAAATGCTGATAAGCCGCTCATCTGAAGAATTGGTATATTCAACATAAGTAAGTAAACCTTTAGAGAGGAATGTTCTAACCCTTGTAAAAGTATTAATACATTTCAAGCAATTCTTCAAAATATTTGTACATATATTTCCCTCCTAGGAATCATTAATACCTTGTGACAGTGGTAACATAATAGATTAAATCAGACTGTAAATTCTTTGAGGCAAGGCCCATTTTTGCTATATTTGTACCATGCCTAGTACTTTGGGGACTAGATACTCTAGGCACCACCACAATACAAATAATGATGGTAAAATATCCCCACATACCTACAATACATAATGTATAACTTTCAATTGGGTTTTAATGAAAAATATTTTTAGCTTACAGACATTTTTTAGGTGATGTACAGATGCTAGTATTTTATATACAGAATATAGGGAATAATAAAAAACATGCTTTGAAACTTAAACATCAAAGGCAAAACTTTTAAAGGGGCTTCAGTCCAGCATACAAAATGAGGGGACGATCTTGCATTATCAAATTCTTGTGTACATAAACTGCATTTGTACTTTTCATATCAGGAATTTGAGTCTCACCTAACTGGTTGATGCACAGAGATCTGAATTTGTTTGAGCAATACCTTGGACATATAAAATTTTCCCCATAACTTTCGAGGTTACATTAAAAAAATCTTCAAAAATTTGACCTTACAGAACCCTTTATTGCTTTAGAATGCAATATTCAATCATTCCCATTTTGTACAAGACAGTAAATACATATTTCAAACATTATAGACTTTCAAACATTACACTTAATTATTTATTAAATGTTCAATCTGTGCTGTATTCAATGCTGAAAATATTTTTTTTAAAATATCCTTTTTTCAGGAGCTCAAATGGGAAGCAATGATGGTCATACAGTGGGCGTTCAGACATGTTCCCTAGAAGACTCACATGCAGGATCAAGTGGAATTCAGCAGCATGGTATTATTTAGCAAATAAAATGTGTTCAGAGACGTTCTCACGATTCTGGAAATTGTTAAAATCCTATAAATATCTGATATTTTTTCCCTGGTGACAGCAGAATTCTAAAATTGAGCTTGGCTCACTTTTCTTTGTTGAAACATAAATGTGTAATGATTATATCATTTAGCATGATATTAATTTGTGGCCTCAAATACAAAGAGCTGTCTCCAGAATCAAGTTGTAAACAATAGTAGCTATGTTTGTTTTCAGGGTTGGGGTAAGGATATTTTACAGTAGTCTTTGGTAGGATACCAGCATAGAAATCAGAGGTCTCTTTTTGTCTCCTGTTACAAATAACACCCAAGATCACTACAGCTGAGAGCTTGAAGGAAGTAAAATTTCCATTTGTTTACTTTGTGCATTTGACCACAATTTGTGTAGAGCCCACTGTTTGTATGGGTGAACAGGCAGAAGAAATATTTTTTTAAAGAGTTAGAAATACAGTTGCTGTCAAATAGGTATCCACATCACAAAATCATTACCTGAGTTGGCCTCGCATTGCAATCTCAGCAGGGATTGCGGGTTGACAGAACAGATGTGGAGACAGGACTTCACTGTCACTCCTTACAGGCCTCCAGAACATGGCTGAAGCAAATGTTTGGGCAGAATAGGAAAACTTGCTCTTGCTTCTGCAGTACCTGTTCTCTTGATGTATCGAGGGCTGTCGGGCAATTTACATGAAATAGAAAATTCTGGTTCATCCCAGTTTAGTTGTGCTGTTGACTCCTGTTATCTTGAGAATAGTAAAAAGGATGATTGGGCAGTGTCAAAACTAAAGTTTGTAGCAGTTAGAAAAGGTGTGTGTGTGTGTGTGTGTGTGTGTGTGTGTGTGTGTGTGTAACTTTTTAGTACAAGAATTCTTCTGCGAACAAGAATGATTTCTGGCCAGACGTCTCTGTGTTTGGGAGTTCAAGGTTTGGCTCCCCTTGTTCATACAAAAGTTTAATGGATACAAGCCTATAACTGTGATAAATAAAAGGAAAACACAGGAATGATTTAAGTAAATGTGTACTGTATTTTAACAGGTTATTCTCAAGGCAGCAGTATTGTACATTATGCCCAGGGAGACCATCAGCAATCACATTTACTGCAACAAGGTGACTTATGTTTTAAAAGATGTCATTTGGATACATAAAAAGCAAAATAGTTTCTCAAGTTAGATGTTGATTTCATTTTTCAGGAAGAACAGGAAGCACTGGTATCAGCACTGGGAAACGCCCAAATCCAGAAAAGGAAACTCAGAGCATTGGGCCGAAAGTCCAGCGACAGAGCACTAATTAGATTGGTAAGAAAGGAAACTCTAAAACATCTTGTTAGTGAGCTAAATTACTATATAGTGTTTGCAACCATTAATGTACAACGTGTGTGCCATTGCATGGTATAAAGGGGAGCAAATATACATAACTACTGACTGAATGTGGCTGAAAAGGAACAGCAGCTGTGCTCTGCTTTCTCATGCACACAATTGTGGTGGGAGTAGAAGGACGAAAAGCAAGTTCTTCTTTGAGTGCTGGTCCCTGTGTGCATTCCATTGTGGGTGTGCATGCGCCTTAGACTAGAGAATTTTTGAAAGCAGTATCCAGAGGTCAGGGCCTGTGCCTTTACTCTCTTCATGCTCTGCACCAAGTATATAAGGGATGGGGAGAACTGATGGCCTCTTCAGTTCTTCTTACCGCGCCATGGCCGAAATCTGAGTCGCCAGTGCAGTGCTGTTTGTTTCTCTTCAGCCTGATCCTTAAAACCTGTAAATATTTAAAAGTTTACCAGTTTTATCTTTAGTATAGTTAATGTTTTTAATAGTTCTATTAATATAGCAATGGATAGTTCAATGGATAGTTAAAATCCCCTCCCTGGGGACTCATGTGCATCCCAGAATGTGATTTAGATTATCTGGCTTTAAAAGCTTTATCTCCTGTGCTTTCACCTTTCTGGTTAGAGACAACCACCAGCGCTGCCTGTACTGCTTTGGGGAAGTGCCTGTCTCTTCCAGATGCAGTATCTGTCACTCCTTCCCTAGCTAGATGCTGCTACAAGTGCAAGAATTCTGGCTTAAAAAGCACCTCATGGAAAAGACTAAGAAGCCCCAGTCAGACCTAGGTCGAGGAAACCCCCTGTACATCGGCCAGAGTCATCAAGGAGTCTGCGTCCTGGTGTGAAGCCTGATGGAGGAGTGATCGAGAATATGCCTATGGACCCTTCATCAGGGGTTCCTTGCAGGAGCAGAGCATGCTTTCATAAGCACAGAAGCAGATCTCCCCTCTAAGTCCACTCCAAAGAGGACAGATCTCTCCCTGTCCAAGTCAGGCAGGTCTTTGTGCCCAGCTCCCAACCACTTAGGACATCCTAAATCCCAGATCTATGATAAAAAGGTGCATAGGAGCAAATCTATGCCACTACGGGACTCTGCACTGGCACTACCTCTGCTGGTGATCCTGTCCAGGTCAAGAGACCATGAATCACTGGTACCGATAAAGAGCACTCATCAGGAACCTCATCCACCGTCCATACCACCACAACGCCATATGCATCTGACAACTCAGCCTTCCTACATCAGCTCCATCTGTACAGCCAGATAGAACCGCATGCCATTTGGAAATATATACCACTCTGGAAGACATCTTTGTTCTCCCATATCCACAATCTCCTGTGTTGTCTGAACCAACCCTCACCAAATAGATTTTGATTCCCTCCCCTGCCCCCTGAGGAGATGCAGGCTATGGGAGAAATCTGTTCCCCATTCTGCCTACTAGCCACGACTTTTCTTCAATGGAACTGATGGCACCACTGATCGAGCTGGATTTGGACCTTCCCATTGTCAGGGGAATCATATACCAGACCAGAGGAACTGTATATAGAAGTGGTCATCTTATGGAACTAGTGTATCAAGAACCACACCACCCTACTTGGCAGTGTACCTTCGAGGAACCCAGAATTCATTGGCAGACAGCCTCAGTAGGCATTTTGCCATCCATGATGAGGTGGGTGGTGAACAGCATTTTCTTTCAGTGGGGGAAACCCCCACTTGGGAGGCAAACAGGAAATGCAACATATACTGCTTCAGAGAAGCTCAAGAAAAGCACTCCAGAGGCAGTGCTCTCCTACTGCCTTGGACAGATCACTTTAGATGTCTTCTATCCCATCCCACTACCACCTCAGGTTCTATGGAAGATTCAGCAGCAAAGGGCATGGAGTCACCCTTGTCACCCCCAAATGGCTCAGACAATTCTGGTTTCGAAGCCTCCTACAAATGTCATCCTGCTCACATGAATCAGCATTCAGTTCATCCTCTCATTTCTTGATTTATTTTTTGAAAGGCCTGATTAATGTTTCTCTTCTCTGTCTGCTCCTGTACCTGTATGGGATTTAAACTAGTCCTCTCCAAACACATGGGACCCCCTTTTTGAGCCTATGGCTTACAACTTCATTATCTTCGTCTATGAAGACGACCTTTTTGGTGGTAATCACTTCTGTCAGGAGAGTTTCAGAACTTCTGGCTGACCTTCTTTTCATGGCCTTCCATATGGACAAGGGTCCATATTCCCTTAGGATATGCCATAAGTTTATGCTTAGGGTAATGTCAGCTTTTTATTTAAACCAAATGATCAATCTTCCAGTGTGTGTTTTCCCAAAACCTCATTTGTCTAAAACTAAGGAAACAAGTTATATGTGGGATGTTCGTAGAGCCCGGCATCCTACTTGGACCACACTAGATCCTTCAGGACTTCCCTCAGGCTTTTTGTAGCCTTTGCTGAGAACATTAAGGGTCAATCTGCATTGTCTTGGTGAATCTCACTGGATTTCTGACTGCATTAAGCTCTGCTACAATCTTGCTAAAATCACTCCTCCACCAAGAGTAATAGCTCACTCCACCGGGGCTCAGTCCACTTCATCAGCTTTTCTCAGCAATGTTCCAATAGCTGTTGTATGCAAGACAGCAACATGGTTGTGTCTGCATACCTTTTCCACTCATTATGCCATCACTCAAGTATCCTGTAATGATACCAGTTTAGTAACACAGACTTGCCAATCTCTCTTCAGATGATCCAAAGTCCCTCCACTGTAAGGGAACTGCTGATGAATCACCTACAGTGGAATGTATATGCGCACTCTAAGGAGAAAAAAGTTATTTACCTGTATAGTAACTCTTGTTCTTCGAGATGTGTTGTACACACATACATTTCATGACCCTCCAACCTTCCAAAGTACTTCGGACATTACATACAGCAATGTGAAGGAACGGAGCAGAAGGCGGCAGATACTCCGCTTGTATAATCTCACCTGAAGGCATGAGGAGATCAGGGAAGCATGCACTGCGTAGTGGTGCTGCTGCACTGAGCACACAAACATCTACAGTGGAATGTATGTGTTCACAACACGTCTCGAAAAACAACTGTTACCATACAGATAAATAATCGTTTTTTCTTGCTAGTTTAGATTCTTCTTTTACTCTCAAGACGATGGATCTTTCCCATAGTTTGCCACAGGTTCACCAGGCACAGTCAGTGCGTCACCCAACATCGGGGGTTTATTCAATCTTTACTCACCCACCAACAGCCAGTTTCCAGAAGGTTCTGATCAGAACCTTTCTGCCGGTAAGGAAACCAACCCCTCACTGGGACCTTAATTTAGTACTTTCATGTCTTACTATGCCACTCTTTGAACTAATAGCTATGTGTTTCACGTCTCACCTGTAGATAAATGTTGCCTTCCTCATTGCTATCACCTTGGCCAGAAAGGTAGGTGAACTTGGAGTCCTAATGGCCATACATAATATCCTATAAGGACAGAGTCTCTATATCCAACTACATCCAAAATTTACTCATAAAATTGTTCTAACATTTCATATAAACCAGTCAATTCATTTACCTGTGCCTTTCCAAAGCTTTATGCCTTTAGTGAGGAGAGGAGACTTAATTCTCTCGACGAATTATGAGCATGGTCATTTTATCTGCAGAGAACAAAACCAATCAGAAAAGCCATCTAGACTGTTCATTTCCATTCCAGAGTGAGTTTAAGGTCAAGCTATATCTTCTCAGTGGATCTCTGGGTATATCCTATTCTGTTATCAGATGGCACAGCTTCCTCCCTCACATGGGGTAAAGATTTACTATGCAAGAGAACAAGCAGCCTCAGAAGCATCACTTCAAGAAGCATCCCTGCTTAGCATTTGCAGGACAGCCTATATGGAGTTTCATCCACACATTCATGAGGCGTTATTCCTGGGTCCAAGACTCTGCCGTTGACTCATCCTTTGGGGCACTGGTTCTACAAGCAGCTATACCACCTGTGTTCTTGCACCCACCTCCTCTCTGAATACTGCTTGTCAGTTATCCATAGGGCCCAGCACTCAAAGAAGAAAGGGAAATTGCTTACCTTGTTGTAAGTGTCTGAAGTTCCTCAAGATGTGTGGTCCCTATCTGTCTTCCACTTCCCAACCTCCTTCACCTCTTCTTCGGAGCTTGGCAAGATTCACAGTAGAGAAGAAACTGGAAGAGTAGGGGTTCAGGCATGGACCAATAGACATTACTTGCAAAACTTCTTTGGTCTCAGGCGCATGGAACGCATGCGTACCCACAGTGGAATAGATAGGGACCACACATCTTGAAGAACTCCAGTTACAACAAGGTAAGTAATTTCCCTTTGTATGGGATTGGGCGGTGAATGGCCTTGTGGTGGTGGGACAGGGCTTCAGAAAGAAAAGCACTCCGTATGGATGTCCTAAGATGTGCATTTAGGTTTGGCTCCTCTTAGATTCTCAGGCTCTGCATGGTTTCAAGGCCAAGACCTCTGTGTGATCCATACCACTGTTAATTTCTCTTAACGTGAAAGTGTAGCATGTAGTGTGTTTTTTCATGCTGTCATAGCCATATGTTTTTTACACTTTCCATTCCTTGGGTTCTTCCTGTGATAGGGAGGATTTAGCTAAGCATAATGGGCCATAACTGCAAGTTTAATTCTTTGACAGGACTATTAGTCAATTTTCTCATGGTAAGATCTAATGCATCTTGTACCCAGTGTTACTGCATGTTGGCACATCATCTTCATAAAGACATTGCAGTACGGTATTGATGCTGTACTGTGATTTCTGTGGCTCTGTCTCAAATTAAGTCAGTGTCCTCTGATTCTTTATCTCCATCACCCTACTAGCTTCTTGAAGCATTGGGAATGGAATCTAGAGATCCTGCTCCATTTGCTCTGCACTACACTTCCACCCCCTGCTATCTTACATATATCAAGCAATGTGGATGTGCTGCACTGGTGGTGGTTCTTCGAGTGATATCCCCA